CCTACAACCGTACGTACATTTTCGGTTAGCGTTTTAAGAAAAATGACTAGATCTATAATCTAATCAGAGGCGTAGCAAGGGGGGGGGAGTGCGGACCGCACCGGGTGACACCATTTAAGGGGGTGACACCAAGGTAAAAAATAGCAAAATATATAGAGAAAAACTTGAGGGGAGGGGTGCAAATCGAAAGTTGGAGGGGGGGTGGTGCAAATCGAAAAATTTGTCCCCGGGAAGGGTCGCTACGCCTCTCGGGGTGACACCATTAAGTGCCGCACCGGTTGACACCCGTCCTCGTTACGCCACTGAATCTAATATTGCTGTATAGACTATACAGATAGTATTTTTTTTTAATTTAACTTGTTTCAGTGTGTTAAATAGATTCATAAGTTAATAGTGTTTATCCTATAGACAAAAATAATATATAGCCGTCAATAGCAGTACTGGTTGCCATGGAAACCACGAAAAGGTGTGAAAACTAACACCTTTTCAAACCTCTAACTTTGTTCCCAAAAGAAATTTAAATATCTGATGACACATTTAGATTTCTCAAACCAAACTATAAATTTCTACGTTTATTCATTGCGATAGCTTATATCCAATTTTTAATACAAATTTTTACGTAAAACTATGTACAAAAATTAGGGGGTGGTGCTACATAAATGTCAAAATTTCCTAAAGTATTGCAGTAAACTCAATGTTCAAACGTAGTATTGTAGATAGTATAATGCTGAATGTATGTGAAAAATTTCAGCTTTGTATGACCAAGGGTTCCAAAGCCTTAGCGATTTGAATGTTGAATTTTGAGTAAAAATTCAAAGTTGGGAAAACTTGAAAAGAAGGTTGGAAAAAGACACTGTGCGTTTTCTCTTATAGAAAACAGAAAAAAACCTATTGTTGTTTGCGGAAGAGCCATTTGACTAATAAAATACCTGTTCACTTATGTTATAAGTTTTAGACAGATTTTTCTATGTAAGCAGAAAATATGTATACAACAGGTAAAGAATTAATGTCTATTAAGTATTACATATCCTATTAATCGAGTTTTATCAGAACGACTATCATCAAACCAGATTAAGTTCTGTTTGTTAGCCGGTCTTTTCATTTCAATACAATGTCTATCCCTACTTAAATTGTAGCTTACACAAGTTTATTGCCTCTCGATAATAGCCTAATACACAAATGTGGGTACAGCGCTTGAGGCTAAACACGCACCCCACCCAACCCCACCCCATTCATTATTTTTACGCGCATGTCCTTATAAGGAGTTGGATAGCAAATTTTACTTTGTAGAAAACAACGTTATCCAACTTGTGTGTAGAACAAGGAAAAAAGTCACTACACTATCGGGTACACGGGTGCTTGGCCGATAGATTGATGTATAGTTTATGATGCTTCTTGGGCAATAAAAGATGTGATACCCGCTCGAAGATAGCCGCTGACCGCGTAGTGGTGTGAACATTTGCAAGGGAGGGGGGGGGGATACTGTTTCACATAGCACTAAAAAGATGAAGTTCTAGAAGTCCGAAATGTTCTGGTTAGATAGCTAAAAAGTGTTAGTACCGAATTCAGAAATAAAAATTTTGATGAGCAAAATATAAATTTTATCGAAAACGTGTATCTTGTATCCTTATATATTTATAAAACTTTTTTTTTTAAATAATCAATTAATTTTTTTTTCTTTAATGCTTTTATTTTCAAAATAATATTATTTTCAAATATATATATATTTGAAAATAATCAATTACAACAAAATCAATGATTACTCACTAGTGCATTGTCTGGAGTTGCAGTTCTGATATGTATTTTAAAACACTTTATCCTGACTATAGTGTTTAATTGTATTTTACTCAAGCGATTTTCAAAGATTTTTAACTATTTTATATTTTTCTAGATGTCATTAAAATGTGGCTTAAGCCGTAACCAAAGCTGCTGTCTACTTTTTTGACAATAAAAGTATGAAATTTACACCAAGGGTAAAGCTGATTTTTACCATCCAAAGCTAGAGTAACCGCCCTTAGAGTAGCTGTTTTTGGAGTAGCCGCCCCTTACTATACTAACCCGACATCAATGTCAGACCAGAGGAAAGTCTCCGAGAAGACAGAACGCACGCGGGTCGGCTCTTTCAAAGGGCCACCACTCGTGGCTGTATTGCCTGGTACCTGAGTCTGGGTGACGCCCCCTAGAAGGGTCTGAGGCTGTATGCCACCAAAGTTGGCCATCATAGGTATTGCCCACCATTCTAGTGATAATTAATAATATAATTGGCTTTCTATACGTTGTTTTATTTAATAGCCTACAAAACCTACGTACATTTTCGGCAAGCGCTTTTAAGAAAAATTACTAGATCTAGAATTCAATATTGAAGTTTTTATTTAAAATAGGGAAGTGTAACACTTAGGCATTTTTTTTTTTTAATATAGCGGTCTTTTAAATTTAAAATATTCTGCAGACTGGAATGGGGAACACGAAAAATTGTGTCTAAAAGAAGAAGTGTTTCTTCCAGACTTTTTTCTCAGGGGGGGGGGGGGGCACTTGAAATTTTCGGGGGGGCGGTAAACTTTCTTGGGGGGGGGGGGGGGCGGACACTGTTAAAAGTATATATTTTCCATATAAATTATATAAATTTCATTTCGTTCGGGGGGGGCGGTAAAAAAAATTCCGGGGGGGCTTGCCCCCCCCCCCCCGAAGAGATGCCTGGAAGAAACTCTGAAACGAAGACATTACTGATACAGTAGAGTAGCTGTGACCAGAAAACAAGACACGGATTGGCTTGTAATCAGTGTTTTCTTCTGGCAACTATTCTCCACGCCCCTTCCCCCCCCCCCCCCCCACCTCCCCAGGAGAATCACTGCGCATGCTCAATCCTTTGCATATAAAATTCTAAAAATATGTGTGTTCATGTCCATTATGAAACGACTGAACTCAAAGAAAGAGCAATAACTCTGTTTTTTTTTAAAGACCAGTTACTCTCTCATATAATATATATTTATATAAATAATAATCAAGCAATGATTCAAATTAAAGTAGCTCCAACAAAGTCTTGTTAAACGGCTAAGGACTATAAGAAACATGCATAACATTTAAAGAATATTTCTTTCACATGCAATGAAAATTAATCATATAAATATTTTTAATGTATACTAAAGGTTGTTTTTTTAAATTGGTTAGTATTAATTTTTACCCCGAATCTCATGTCTACCCATTTCATCCGTCATGCAATAGAATCAATAAAAAAATGTTTTGTACCCCACTGGGATTTGAACCCACAGCCAGGACTCGGGGAAAAGGACCCTAACACGAGCTGGTTCCTGTAAGGACTGGGACGGCTTCACGTCCATTTGGTTGTCCAGCATTGGCTGACGATTAAACGCTACGGGCTGGGCAGTTTCAAGAATCATTGCTCCTTTAAATAGCATCCACGGCCTCGGCCTAGGTCTAAACCCTGTATTAGAAATCATCTCAGTCCCATTCAGTTTTTTTTGTGTGTGTGTGTGTGTGTGTGTGTGTGTGTGTGTGTGTGTGTGTGTGTGTGTGTGTTTTAAGTTTGTTTTCATTTCGTTAGTCAACGCCATAATTTTTTTCTCCATAGCAGGCAGATTCAAGAATCATTGCTCCTTTAAATAGCATCCACGGCCTCGGCCTAGGTCTAAACCCTGTATTAGAAATCAACTAAGTCCTATTCTGTTTTTTTTTATGTTTTAAGTTTGATTTCATTCGTTAGTTGACGCCATAATTTTTGTCTCCATAGCAGGCAATAAAGATTAATAATATTAATTAGTAAAGGTTAAACTAAAGAATTTAGTTAGTGTTAATTTGCATTCCGTGTCTACCCATTCTATTCATGCAGTAGAATTGCATCCATTAAAAAAAAATCTTGTACCCCACTGGGATTTGATCCCAGAGCCACGTCTCGGGGAAAAGGACCCTAACTCGAGCAGGTACTTTGAGGGACTGAGACGGCTTCATGTCCATTTGAATGTTCAGCGCTGGCTTAGCATTAAAGCTGGCTGCTTGAAACATCATAGGGCTTCCAAACATTACTCTGGGTATTTTAAATCCTGCATACGCAACAGAATTAAAGGTCTTATATTTACTGTTTGCATGCTGTATGCTCCAAAATAGTTAAAGTTATTGGAGAGTTCACATCGAAAATTTTAAAGTATGCTACAGTAAGCCTTTTTTTTAATTATGTAAGTAATGTGATGCTGTTAGTGAAATGTTTATTGTATTATTTATTTTTTTAATTTGATTTGGGTATGTGTTCCCGTATACTACAAGTTGAAAGATTTGCAAATAAGCTTACTTCAGTTAATGTTTTCATGTTTGAACTTTAACCCTTCGGGGTTCGAGTAATTTTCTGGAGTTTTTTCAGCAATGCATTGGCAATGCTTTGACAATGGTCAATAAATACTTTGGGTAGATATGTTCCAAATTGTAGCTTTGCAACCACATCAAATGCTATTTCAAAATAATAACCAAACTGTTATATGTTCTTTAATTAGCAACAGTTAGTAGCTTCAATTTATCAATGTATCATCGTTTTGCAAGAGGATAATAGTAAAATCTCCTTGCAGACTATATAGTAGAAGTAATCAGATGTTGTTGTTTTTTTTTAACGGCATACAAAGAAAGCCGCTTTTAATTCCCCAGACAAGTCGGGAACTTATTAGAGCTGGGCAGACTCAGTGATGTTCCATAGAGTCAAACCTAGACGTTCGTGTTAGTCATTGTGTGCGCTATTGCTTGACCACACCCCGAGTTTTAAGTTTATCTCTTAACATAACCTAAACAACATGGTACAGCTCCTCATGGGTACTAATAGTTTCAAATGTTCGTCTTCTAGATTGTATTCTTATTGTTGGTTATCTTGGTGAGAATGAGAACTACGCTTAAAGCTGTACTAGGGCATAGAAAATCACGGTGTGAGCTGAATACGGTATTTCCTGAAAAGATTGTAAAGTGTGAGTGGCATAAGGAGACAGAGATGATGTGGTACTCACGGATTGGTTCCTGGTAGTGGTAGACTGTGGCGTCGGTGAGGATGACAACGCCAGCATTCTGCAACAGACAAGACACAGCCGCTTATTAATGTGTTGGGTGATTTTGTTTAAGAAACTCAAAGTGTAGTGATTTTTTTTATTCTACACTAGACTCGATAATAGAATTTAAATGTGTGAAGTCGTTTAATTTACAAACTTTCAAACGTGTCTGATCTCTTCTGTCTGCTAGGATGTGGTCTGTCTGATCTGATGACTTCTATCGGTAGCCAGCTAGAGCGACTACATGATGTCTACATGTGGACATGTGTTTTGGTGTGCTAGGTCTCTGTCTGTAAGACAAGCCGTCTTCTATCTCTATAATAAGCTGTCTACTGTCTCTAAGACAAACTGTCTACTGTCTCTAAAATAAACTGTCTACTGTCTCTTAGACAAGCTGTCTACTGTATCTAAGACAAACTGTCTACTGACTCTAAGACAAGATGTCTACTGTCTTTAAGACAAACTGTTTACTGTCTCTATAATAAAATGTCTACCGTCTCTAAGACGAACTGTCTACTGTCTATACGAAAAGCCGTCTATTGTCTCTATAATAAGGTGTCTACTGTCTTTAATACAAACTTTCAACTGTCTCTAAGACAAGCTGTCTACTGTCTCTAAGACAAACTGTCTGCTGTCCCTAAGACAAACTGTCTACTGTCTCTTAGACAAGCCGTCCATGTCTATGAAACAAACTGTCTACTGTCTTTAAGATAAACTGTCTAGGATACATATCAATGTATCATCGTTTTGCAAGAGGATAAAAAAAAGGATAAACTGTCTACCGTCCCTAATTCAAAATGTTTTCTGTCTGTAAACCAGTCTTTTGCCCATCTATTATCTAAACCACCCACCTGTAAAACCTGCTGTGCGTCACTTCCGCCAATGAATGTTGGGTAAGGCCACCAGATAAATCTCTTCTTTCTCCTGCACATTGGGCAATCGATACCGCCACGGAAACCGCCGGACGTACTCGAATCTACAATGGTATCGTATTCCTTGAGATCTGAATACACCTGTAGATAACAGAAAGACATTGGGTGATATTTTACTCAACTAGGAGAGATGGAAATGGAAGCAGTTTTCCAAATAATCGAAAAAAGATGGCGTTAGATAGGGTGCGTCCTAAGAATGAATCAAGAGTATATTTATTAAAACATAGATAAACAATATTTTATTATATAGATATTTACACAAATATATATATATGTATATATATATATATATATATATATATATATATATATATATATATATATATATATATATATATATATATATATATATATATATATATATTTATATATATAGACTGGTAACTCAAAAAGTCTCTAGTTCGAATCCGGGTTTTTGTAAGAAGAATGTCCCTCCTTAGTCTACCCAGATCTAATGGGTACCTAACTCACGTTAGGGAAAAGTAAAGTCGGCTGGGCATAATGCTGACCTTACTATCACTTCATACGCCGAGGTCAGAGAAACAAGTGAACTCTAATTCACCTGCCCCATGCATCGTCAGTCTTGAAAGGGAACTTAATTTTTTTTTACTTAATTTAAATATAATCAAAAATAATATTTAATAATATACAATTATAAAGTATATAATTATAAAATTACATTTTCTTTCTTCGTTCTTTAAAAGATGAAGCCATTTCTAATGCAATGAATACAACTCTCATTTAATTTTTTTAATGGAGTCAAAAATGTTAAGTTATTGTTGTTATTTTTAGTAGGGCAATTAAACCAAGCTCTTACATCACTGTCAGTGACGTCATTTCTGCCCTTGAGCAGCAGGACGCTCTGGTCAATGGCCAACAGGTTGACGCTGGAGTCAGGGTCAGCTGTGGTGATGACGGTCACGTTGTCACCTGGTTCAACGTCTGTCCTGTCCAGGTTGATGGAAACCTGTGGCGGGGAGGGGGAGAAAATGTAAACATTACTTATCACAAAATGCTTTATCGAACACGCGCACTTGGAAAATTACTCCCAAACAAACGCGCAAACTAAAAATTACATATGATTTACGTATGAGCGTTGTTTTTCAATAATTTTTTGGGAATAACTTTGAAGTATAATTTATTTTTCAAATCAGCGAATCGTACACATTAGAAAATGCAGTTTTAAAACCTTAAAGATCTGGTGTGTTATTCTCTTATTTACACTGAGGCAGAGACGTAGCGATGGGGGGAAGGGGGGGGGACATATGTCCCCGGGCGCCGACCTTAGAGCGCCAAAATGGGTTGGAAAAAGTAATCGAAAGTGTGAGGGGATTGCAAATCGAAAGTTTGAGGGGGGGTGCAAATTGAAAGTTTGTTCCTGGGCACCCGCAAGGGTCGCTACGCCTCTGCACTGAGGGGACTTACAGCATTATTGCAATGACACCAGTACCTTGTTTATAAAATTCTAGTTAGTTGTTCAGTTGATCATAGGAATGTTATAGAGAGTATGTGTGTACCTTGTTTATATATTCTAGTTAGTTGCTCAGTTGATGCCGCTAGAGGAATGTTATAGAGAGTACGTGTGTACCTTGTTATTGAAAGCACCGCTGATGTCAAAGCTGATACTGTCTGGGACAACTTCACCGTCTGGTCTGACGTAGTAGACGACGATTCTGGCAGAGGGCGCCATGCTGGGCTCAGAGACGACGGAGAAAGGGAAAACCTTCTGGTTGTTGGCGTTGATGGTGCCGGTCTTGACGATGACGCCCCGAGAGAGAACCTGTTAAGAAAATGTGAAGAAATTTTTAATTTTCAAAATCGTATCGTTTGTTTATTTTTTACTTATTCATAAATAAGTACAGCAAGGGAGATCATATCTAGAGTATGTGTTACCTGGTAAACGAGGGTAGATAACTCTTCGGTGCCTTTGATTTCAAAAGAAATGCTGTCTCCGGCCTAATAGAAAAAGTATTTGATCAAAAACAATATATTACTAGCTTTAAAATATAATTAGATAAAGTAATGGTATAATTATGTTGTCATTTAAAGGAAAAGAAGTAAATGAAAAATGTTAGAGGATTTTGATAAAGCTTGGAAATTTTGAGCTACAATTTAAATAAATTATACTATTTTCCCCCTTTTGATGATTGATTTTTTTTGCCTTGTTCTTCTAATAAATTTATCTCTTATATTATCGGGGGGAAAAAAATTAAATTTATCAGATAAAACCCTGAGCAAGTTTTTAAAATTACAACCTACTAATTACTTAATGTAATTTCCTTACCTTGATGGATGAAGACTTGAGCGAGAGTTGAATGTACGAGTTGCTAGGGGAGTGGCTCTTGCCAAGGGTCAGTTCCTTGGTCACTCCCTGGAAGTCTGACTGGAAGTGGATAATTTATTGAGTCAATAATTTATAATAGCATTAATGTGAAACGGTCACTTTTATCTCTATTACAGAAACAGGTAAATTCTGCTTCATCTCGACCATAACTTTCAGGTCCAAAATGGTACGAGAACTATAGATCTACTTGTTGTCTGTTTTGTTTGGGTAAAAACGGGCCATTGTACGTTTGTACTGAAAACGTAGTGCTAGAGGTGAATTCTATTCATTATTGTTTTTAGCATTTTCCAGACCATAAATAGGATCAACAACTGGTGTGTCTGTGTCTGTGTGTGTGTGTGTTTGTCTGAGTGTGTGTGTCTGTGTGTGTGTTTGAGTGTGTGTTTGAGTGTTTGTGTGTTTGTCTGAGTGTGTGTGTCTGTGTGTGTGTTTGTCGGAGTGTGTGTGTCTGAGTGTGTGTGTCTGAGTGTGTGTGTCTGTGATTGTATACTGAGTGTGTTTGTGTTTGTGTGGGTGTTTGTGTCTGTGAGTGCGTGCGTGTGCGGGAGTATATGTGTGTATGCTGTGTGTGTGTCTGTGTGTGTGAGAGTGTGTCTGTGTTTGTTTGTCTGTGTACGTGAGTGTGTGTGAGTGCGTGCGCGTGCATGCGCATGTGCATGTGCATGAATGTGTTGTATTTTTTATTTGTTTTTTTTTTGTTCTGATTGTTTTCGGTGGAGGCGGAGGTGGCGATATTTTTTTTGTTGTTTTGTTTTTTTGTTGTTGTTGTTGTTGCTAATTAGGCCTATAGAACGACAAGAATGTTAATTAAAAAGAACTCACTGTAATGTGAACATCCTTGGCATCAGCGGGGATGTCAACAGGGATGGCGAGTAGACCGTTGCTAGGGACGCTCAGGGTCTGACCAGGCAGGTCCCTGTTCTCCGTGGGTGGGGAGTACCAGTAGCTGGGGGTGGGCGTGGTTCCAGGAAGCTCGGCTGTGATTTTAATGCTGACCTTGACACTGTCAACGGTAGAGCTAACGGGAAGACCGTCGGGCTGGGAGACTTTGAGCTGGAGGGAGAAATGAGAAAATTTCTTTATACTCTGGAAACACAGATATTTTTTTTTTGTATTTTAAAGCGTAGTAAGAAAATATGAAGAAAAAAAGTTACAAATAAATCAAAGGTTTGTAGTAAATTAGTACCGGTTCTCAATTGAAATATAACAACGGAAAAATAAAAAAATAAAAGTGAATTAATAAAACAGACCCGCAGGCCGGATACGGGCCGCGGTCTATATCTATTTACAACAGTTAGTTTGTGCGTAAAAGTACTGCGTGTATGTTATATTTTTTTACATTTATTATATGTTGTTTAATCTTTGTGATCACATAAATACGTAGATAGCCAATATACTGTAAAGTACGTACGTAGCCAATATACTGTAAAGTACGTACATAGCCAATATACTGTAAAGAACGTACATAGCTAATGTACTGTAAAGTACTTACATAGCAATGTACTGTAGAGTACTTACATAAGCAATGTACTATAAAGTACTTACATAAGCAATGTACTATAAAGTACTTACATAAGCAATGTCCTGTAAAGTACTTACATCAGCAATGTACTGTAAAGTACTTACATAAGCCATGTACTGTAAAGTACTTACATCAGCAATGTACTGTAAAGTACTTACATAAGCAATGTACTGTAAAGTACGTACATAGCCAATGTACTGTAAAGTACTTACATAAGCAATGTACTGTAAAGTACTTACATAACCAATGTACTGTAAAGTACTTACATAAGCAATGTACTGTAAAGTACTTACATAACCAATGTACTGTAAAGTACTTACATAAGCAATGTACTGTAAAGTACTTACATAACCAATGTACTGTAAAGTACTTACATAAGCAATGTACTGTAAAGTACTTACATAACCAATGTACTGTAAAGTACTTACATAACCAATGTACTGTAAAGTACTTACATAACCAATATACTGTAAAGTACGTACATAGCCAATGTACTGTAAAGTACTTACATAAGCAATGTACTGTAAAATACTTACAGAATCAATGTACTGTAAAGTACTTACATAAGCAATGTACTGTAAAATACTTACAGAATCAATGTACTGTAAAGTACTTACATAAGCAATGTACTGTAAAATACTTACAGAATCAATGTACTGTAAAGTACTTACATAAGCAATGTACTGTAAAATACTTACAGAATCAATGTACTGTAAAGTACTTACATAAGCAATGTACTGTAGACCAGGCTTGAAGGTCTTGGGATTGTTCTCCGGGTACTCAAGTTTCACACCTTTGTCGTACATGGTGACGGTTCCGTTACTGGACATCTGGTTTCCGGTCAAAGACTCGGTCACGTTGGCCGAGACGATGAGGATGTGTCCGTTGAGCTGGGCATTGATGGCCTTGACCTGTGACATGGGCACCGTGACCTTGGCTTCTCCATCAAGCTGGTGGGTAGAAAATATATGTAAATGTATAAGTTCTGTTTCTAGATAGTGTTTGATCTCCGGCCCACAGCGTGGTGAACTGACAGAACAGTGTTTCTTTCAGAACTTTTTACTCCAAGGGGGACTTGAAACTTTCGGCGGGGGGGGGGGGGGGGGGGGCGGACTAATTTTTTCACGATGGCAGCGGGGGAAGGTGGTTGAGCGGGGGAGGGGGGGGGACACTGGTAAAAGAGATGCCTTAAAGAAACACTGACTGAGACTAACCAATACAATAAAAGGAGCTTTTTTTTCTATCTTCGCTACGAGAAAAAATCGGCAATATTTTTTTTTGTAAACTTTTGTTTTAAAAAATATATATGTCTTAGCATGTTTTCCTCATTCCTGTCTCACCCCTGCCTCTTAGCATAACATTACCTAAACTAATCCCAAATCTTAGTTTTTCCTCCAAAAACTACATAATGACTACAATATTTGGACGCTTCATATACCACCCCTTCCCCCAATAGGGCTTGTAAGTAGGTCACCATCTTCTTGTTCTCGTACTTGCCTACTAGTATATCTTAAACAATTATTTTTGTATTCAATCGGTAGTAAAAAAATAAATAATAGAAAAGTTACACTGCTATAGTTACGTTACTTAAAATCGTAAATGAGAATCATAGTATATATAAACTTAATTTTGATTTAATTTAAATCTCTCTCTGGCTGATAAATTTCGAATTTTATTCGAGAGAAACCGAGACTTACAAGCCCCATTATGTAATCCCGCTAGATAAAGCAAAATATTTTAAAGTTGAGTTAGCATTTTTTTTTCTTTTGGTGTCATCCTTCTAGGATAGTGTCACCACCTTTGTTCTGCCACCAACCCTCGTTACGCCACTGGTCAAATCGTGTACTCACCGGAACTTGTGTGGAGGTCACAGGTAGAGCGAGAGAGTAGTCGTAGGTATTGGAGCTGTAGAGCAGCTTCACCTGGACGTCAGCGGTACCTTTGACGGGCTTTCCATAGGTGTATCTGCAAGTAGGGAACAATGACATGAATGAATGGATTAGGGTTTCGGCACTGATACGAAGGGACGGTTTGGAATTTGGAGTAACGATCACAGGTGTTTTTTTGGTAGAGGCGTGTGGGTATACAATAGTTAGCAGTAAAAAAAAACTTACTTTGATTTAACGGTGAATGTGACGTCAGTGTCGGTGGTCAATACGTATGAGGGCATGACGACCTCGACCTCGAACTTGGGAAGAACTGAAATAAAAGTAGGAACAGCTTGCATGAAACAAATCTGTTTTAGGAATGTGCTTTAAGTTTCGTTTGAATTATTTTACAGATCTTATGGTAAACTTAAGTAAAAGTAGTAATCCGTGACTATGAGTAGAGAGAGATAAAAAGTGATGCATTAGAAAATTAGCTTAATTAATTAGGCTTCGTCAGCGAGTATAATTAAACTAGTCTTTTAAAATAAAGTATATATTTGTAAGTTATGTTATATTCTTAAACCGGTTCCGAAAAATCTTTTTGGCCAATGGGTAATTTGATACTTTGTTGGTTTTTTTTTAATTAAATGTTCAACTATGTATTGATTGTCTTTGTTTGTTTTTTCAAGGACTTACTGTATTCAGCAACTGTGAAAACTTTTTCTTCTTTGACATTCTAAAACATCGAAAAAAAATGAAAATGATGATCAATATAAAATTATTTGGCAGCAAACATTTAAATTGAATGTTTCAATTATTCGTTTTTTAATTGATTGTACAATCGAAAATGCTGTTTACTTAACTTTTTTTTTAATAGGGCTGGTAAGTAGGTCATCATCCAGTTCTACGGCTCAATAAAACCTGCATGAGCTATAAAACCGGTTGGTGACCTACTTACCAGCCCTATTCTGAATTTTTTTTTTCATAAGGTTAAGAATAGATATGTACTTTGTATTGCTTCGTGATTGGATATGTTTGTCTAAAATCAACGTGTGGTTTTTTTAATATAAGTCCCCTACTTACGCCAGCTTCCACCGAGATTTTCCAGTCACCAAGGACCGGCTGGGATGAGAGGGTCAGTTCCTGGGTGATGACCCCTTTCTCTGGAGTGACCTTCAGCCATTGTTTGATCTTGTTGGATCCGGCATCCTGCATGACAGACAAGAAAGGTGTTAGTTTGTCTGTCAAAACACAGTCACTTTGGTCCACGTCTGTCGTAGTTAAAGCATTTTTCTTGTAGCTTTATTTATCAAAACATTTATATTTTGTTGCCCTTTGAATGTCTATAAACAGAGTAAGCTTGTTTTTAAAATGACTTACATAGATGGAAATATCCATAGGACTGTTGAAAGATTTCAGGTCGGAGTACACGCCGAAAACTCTGAAGTTTACTGGAAGAAGAAAATATTGTATTTCAATTTGTAATCATTATGTGAGTCAAAAGGTTTAAAAGATGGCCTACGCGTCTACCTACCTGTATCACTAGGTTTAAAGATGGCCTTATATAAACGTCTACCTACCTTTATCACTAGGCTTAAAAATGGCCTTATATAAACGTCTACCTACCTGTATCACTAGGCTTAAAGGTGGCCTTATATAAACGTCTACCTACCTGTATCACTAGGTTTAAAGATGGCCTTATATAAACGTCTACCTACCTGTATCACTAGGCTTAAAGATGGCCTTATATAAACGTCTACCTACCTGTATCACTAGGCTTAAAGATGGCCTTATATAAACGTCTACATACCTGTATCACTAGGCTTAAAGATGGCCTTATTCAGCTGTATAAACAAGGAAGCCTCTTTGCTGTTGTAGCTGAGACTCTCAGACTTGTCAAACACCAAACCACCGCTGCCAACGACTTTCAGCATGTAGCCGCTGTTGGGTAGGTCAGCGGGCAGCTGGGATACAAAAGTCATATCCTTACAGTCAATGTCTTTAAGGCTTTATTTTACTACGCTATCTACTAATAGCATAAAGTATCCAACAGCTATGTTTATATTTCTTATGACTTATGATGTATAACACACAAACATGATCTATTTTGACCCCCCCCCCCCAAAAAAAAATAATAATAATGTCCATTTTACGTAAAGTTGCATTTGTCCTACCCTGCAGTAAAGTTACAGTACCCTTTTCAAACCTGAGGGTCTATAGGGCAAGTGGAGTTCACTTGTTTTTGTGACCTCGGCATATGCAGAGATATTGTGGTCAGTACTATGCCCAGCCGCCTTTACTTTCCCTAACGTGAGTTAGGTACCCATCAGAGTTGGGTGGACTCAGGTCTAATGACTTGAACCCGTATTCGAACTCGAGACTTACGGGTTAGCAGTCCAACTCTCTACCGTTAGACCACTCCGTCCCATACCCTGCAGTAGGCGGATCCAATATACACCTACATAAAGAGATACGCCTATGCCCTGACTGACTTAATGAGTGTGTATAACCCTGAGATGTTGAATGACTGTACAACTTCAAAAAGAATAGTATTTGCCATCATTTTTATTGATTCGTTTGGGTCGAACAACCATGAAACATTGTTCACGCATGGATTTGAACACAGACAACTAGCTGTTTGTTCTAAGCATTAAATCTAAATAAACTCACCTTGATGTCGATGGTCCCTGGGGCGCCTGGGGAGGAAAAATTTAGATATTTAGGATAATGTTTTAGGTTTTTGTGGGTATGGCCTTGTGGTATTGTATCGAGTGGAGTTTGATTTTACGTTGTTTTTGTTTTTTGTTTGCTTGTAGAATTAGGATTAGAGTTATGGATACGGTTACGGCTAGGGTCAGTATTAGGAGTGAGATTATCGCCAGGAATAGGGTTACGACTGGGATTAGGATAAGTGCTAGGGTTAGGTATCGGATAGTAGAGTTAAGGTAGAGCTAATGCTGGCAATGTTCATACGTGATTCAGTTACAGGACACAGGTAATTACAGGTAGCAGAAGTAAATTTGTTTATTTTTTTTAAAAGACCTGGACTCCAAGTCAGCCCCCACCCCCACCCCCAACCCCACAACATTTAACGAAACAAAAGTTGCACCCTGGTTTTTATTTTTAATAAACACAATTAAATACCCAAATCGAATGAGGGAGGGGTGGGGCTACAATATTTAGTCTAGGAAATATCTAATGTATTATAAGCCTTTTTTTCTAAATTACGCTTCCTCCCCCCCCCCCCCCCCCCCCTCCAAGCCCCACACCCTATCACCTACGTGAGAGAAATCGTGACATTTTGTATAAACTACCCTACCCTTAGACCCCACCCCCACCCCACCCTCACCCCACCCCCACTACACCGCCATCGTGAAATTTTGTATAGACTATCCTACCCTCCGAGTCCCACCCCCTCCCAACACCCACACCAGCTCCCAAAAGAGAACATACTACTGTCAGCTTAACATCGTAGGCTGCCGACAGTGTGAAAACAGATGGTAAAAAACATGTCAACAAAACTACCAAAGCGCCATAACTCATTTTGTTGTTTATTTAACGAATAAGAGATAATGTTTTCGTCATGACTAGGGGAAATAACTAAAATTCGATACATCCGATCATTACAAAATAACCGCAGTAGATATAAACAGAAAAATCGATTTCTGGTGATCAAGTATCGATGACTCTACTTTATCTGCTCCATGTGTCTTGGGCACGAACGAATATCGATGATGTAATGAAAAGAAAGATCTTATTCTAAATACAACGTTTAGTTTTCAAAGCTGGGATATCTACAACCCGAACACACGCCTAATGAGTTTATCATAAGTCAATAGGACTGTCTCATAGGGCCTGTCATTGGTCATTTACCTCAGCATTGGTCTGGTGTGACTCATGCCCTCCTGGAGTCTATGACTCCCTACCTCATAGACTCTAAGACCAACTCGATAGTTAAAGCGTTCGTTCCCTTAAAGTCAAGGGACAACAAAATGGCATACTTTTTCATTTTCCTTTTTTATTAGAACCAACTGCATGGCAAACTGGTTTATTCCCGTATCATTAACTCTTTTTCTTTGGTGCCCAAGACGTATGAGGCCGCCATAGAAAAGTCCGTCCCACTCCCCACCTCCCGCTTTTGTTGGTCACCGGCAATTTTCTTGCCAGTCCCCCATGACAGTCCTGCCTCTGCCAGTTGCTTTACAGCCGTGTGCCCCACGTCTCCCTTGGCCTTACTCCCCCATAGTTTATGGCCAACTCCATTGCCAACTTAGTTAAACCCTTATAGTTTAGAGCCGATGACTTGGCCATCGTATTCCTTGACGTCTAGAGTCTAAGGCCACCATGCTCATTCTTTACAAAGTATCGAGCCAAAGCTATGGCCGATGTTGTTGACAGTACCCTAACCACAACCACAGCCACATCAATGCTGATGTACCATTACACATCACTGCTGATGTACCATTACACCCCAGGTAAAGATTTATATTTGTTTTAATAACGCGTTATATTTTCTTGACAATGAATCTTCTATCTCTATAAGATAAGACTCCTAATGAGCTAGATCGTGTCAATGAAATGGGTTTTTTTTTTCATTCTTATCTCATTAAGTTTTGTCTTTTTTTTAACCTAGACATAATAAACTAGAAGATTTTTTTTTTCTCCGTAAAATGAACCTTAAGATCACGATTTAAATTTGTATTCCATTTTGAATATTTTTTTTAAATGCAAGTAAATTAATTCATTTAAGTTCCGCCTGATAGATTATATGGGGGCAAGTGAAGTAGAGTCCACGTGTTTCTTAAAATCCGTAACTCTATCAGACTTAGAAGAGAGGAGTGGGCTTTGTGACGTTTTAAGGCAGAGGAAACTCTAGACTAGCCTGTGGATAATCGCTGTAGTACGGTACTAGGAAACTGATGACTAAATAAATTTAAACCCATGATTTTTGTGTATTATGAAGGAGGCGAACAGAGAGTGATAGGAAGATAACATCAGAATGAATGGCTTTCAGGGTTTCTTCCAGGCATCTCTTCGGGGGGTGGCGAAAAAAATTACCGCTCCCTGAACGAAATTAAATTTAAATAATTTATATAGAAAATAAAGACTTTTAACAGTGTCCGCCACCCCCCCCCCCCCCAAAGAAAGTCTATCACCCCCCACCCCCCCCCCCACCCCCGAAAATTTCAAGTGCCCCCCCCCCCCGGAGAAAAACGTCTGGAAGAGACACTGATGGCTTTTACAATGGGAGAGGTTCTGAAAATGGTGGAGTGACTGAGATAAAAAGTGGAAACACTTGCGGTTCTTCAACGACCAACAAAACAAAACTATGGGACCAATCGATTGATAAATAGAGCTTTTAATGGATTACCATTACCGAAATAAATATTCTAAAAATAAGTAGTATATATCTATTGATTAATAGGTCTCATGAGAGCACATCAAACAAGTGGACAGGGATAATTAAATATCTTCAAGACAGGCGGAAAATGTGTGTTTTCTACAGGTGTCAAAGTTAGGGTTAATGTTATGGTCGAGATTAGTATCAAGTGTAGATTCGGGATAGGATATTTGATAGAATTAGGGCTTATTCCTGAGGATTAACCTCATTCAAGTTAAACTTGACTTATAGGGCTAGACTAATTTAATACAATTTTAATATGTAACAGTAAGTTTGTGCAGTGGAAGTAGAGTTCGTCTATTTATAACATAATTGTGCTTTCAGAAACCCTTAGAATAAATGGAAACTGGCTATCGATTATTAGTTAACTAGGAAAGTTAACTGTACTTAGAATTTCTGTTGAACATCGTTTTTAGTTATGGATAGAAATAAGGTGATGTTATTAGTTATTTAATCGGAATAATAGTGGTTGTTTTAAAGGGCGTTAACTCACCAGCTTGGAACACTTTAGTGCCGCTGGCCACGACAGTTGTGCCCCTTAGAACTTGGGCGACAACTGTGACGTCACCGGTGGCCTTGAGAATGTTGACGCTGACGGAGAAATCCATGTTGGAGCGGATTTTGGATGGGGCGATGACGACATACGAGCTGGAACATTCGGTTAGTTTCATTTTATAATTTTTGTAATTTGTAAAACTAAAAATATAAAATGTAAGTAAACATTAAAAAAAATTTCATATGTTCTAATTCACTGCAGAATTGGCTAAAGAGGTCGTCCATAGATGTCGCCACTTTCAAATGAGGAATGGAGTTTTGTGACTATATGTGACAAAGACAGAAGGGGTGTGGGGGGGGGGCAGTTACTGAAAGTGTAACATCTCACGTTTCCATTTTAAAAATTATTTCGAAACAAAATTTCAACTCTTATTTAGCACTCTTAAAGACACTAAAGGTAGGCCTACCATACAGAGTTTCTTCCAGACGAAGAACGTCTACCGCCGCCCCCCCCCCCCCCCCCCCCCCCCCCGAACGAAATGAAATTTATATAGAAAATATATACTTTTAACAGTGTCCCGTTCCCCCCCCCCCCCCCACGAAGAAAGTCTGCTACCATATTTCAATGTATCATTATCTATACATTAAACAGGAAGTAGTGCGGAACTCAGAGCTGAATTCAGGGGCTGTAGAGAAGGTTATGAAAAGTGAGAGCTAAACACCGCTAAGCCTTCGCTGAGCTTCACGTTAAATTTAAGTGCTACTTGACCTCCCCCACCCCCTAATTAGCATAAAGTTAGTGTTAGGTGACACGAATTACTAGGAAAACGGATTGCGCCTCAGACATTAAAACAACTTTTGACAGCTTGGAAAAGTCATGTTAAGCCAATTTCTAAAGGGTCGAGTCGGTAACGTTCATGGTTGCTAAACTGAAAAGTCCCGAGTTCGAACTCTGGATGGGGCTGATAGCTGTACAGCAATTCTTCTAGAAGAAACAACTCCAAAAAAACAAACAATTGCTGCCTTGTTGTTTGTTCTTGGTTGGACAAAGGCTATGGAAGCAAATCCAAAAAGAAAAGCAGGCTGAAATGGTAGTCGACGGCCTATATGGCGTATAACCAGTTGACACGTAAACTTAATTGTGTTAGAGGGAATCTCTTCCAACACTAGAATCAAGAACGAAGAAGAAGAAAGAAAGAACCTATTTTTCTCATACCCTAAACCAAAAAGTCTCGAGTTAGAACCCTGGATGAGGCTCGCTAGCTGAGGATAGCAACTCTTCTAAGAGAGACCACTCCAAAAACAAACAACTGTTGAATCAACGGCCTAAATGGCGCATAACAAGTTGACACATATACTTAATAGTGTTACAGTGAATCTCTTCCAACACTAGAATTAAGAACGAAGAAGAAGAAGAAAGAAATAACCAACCCTGGCTGATAGCCGGGGACAGCAACTCTTCTAAGAGAGACAACCCCAAAGTAGTAAGAAACAGAGTTTCTTCCAGGCATCTCTTCGTGGGGGACAAAGCTCCCCCGAAAATTTTTTACCGCCCCCCCCCCCCCCCCCCCGAACGAAATGAAATTTATATAATTTATATAGAAAATATATACTTTTAACAGTGTCCGCCCCCCCCCCCCCCCCGAAGAAAGTCTACCGCCCCCCCCCCCCCCCGGAGAAAAAAGTCTGGAAGAAACACTGGTAAGAAAGAAACAATATCTCTCATACCCTAACTTTCACCTGACATAGACACTGAAGAAACAAAGTAAGTATTATAATGTTAAACAACAACACAAACATAATTTATAAAAAATATTGTAATCTTAAAAAAACGAAATTTTCGACTTACTTTTGGGCACACACGGCGGTCACAACCACCGTGAGAAGAAGTAATAACCGCATCTTGTTGCCTGGAAACAGGGGAGACAATCATGGGTTAAGAATTATGTCCCATATTATCTGTTTATAATACATTTTACTTGACCAACGAGCATAATATAAACATAAAAAATATTGACAACACTTTTTTGGTTTTGAATCTCCAATATGTTGATGATTAAAAATAACCCGTCTTCAATTTCTTCAAAAGCGTTGAAATTTTCGAAAAATTAAGTTACTTTTTTTTCATTTATTTTTGCATACATTTTTTGCATAATATTTTTTTTATTTATGTTTTAAATTCAGACTGTTGCAAAGAATAATGCCGGTGTCTTTGTTTTCCAATATTGTTTTTCAACGTTTTAAGCGTTACCTTAAACTTTAATGTTATTTTTGTAGATCAATTTATCATTCCGTTTAAAATAATAAATTCCGTGTAAAGATGGGTACAGAATTCGCCGTTACATACTGAATTTCTTTAATATGTTTAGCGCAATCACATTTTATTTTATTTGCAAAATAATATAATTAAACTTGGTATATGTGTTCTTCTCTTAGTATCTCGTAAATACACAACACGAAAAATAAAACATTGTCTCTGGCAATTAAGTATAAATTAATGTTGAACTTGGTAAATTTAAAAAAAAAAATTCACAAATCTCAATAACAATTTGAATACGCTTACTTGAATTTTAAATGCACTTACCAAATGCGTACAATTTATTATCTATCTGAACGCTGCATTGAACTACATGAAATCGTTCATTTTATTATCGATGGAAACTTTAAATGCACTAAATGAAAACCTTTATTTTATTATTCATGTAAACTTTGACTGCACTAAACACAATCTTACAGTAATTATTTTTATCTATATAAACGTTGACTGCACTATACAAAATCTTACAGTTATTACCTATATAAACGTTGACTGCACTAAATGAAATCTTACAGTTATTAGCTAAATATAATTTTTGACTGCACTAAATGAAATCTTACAGTTATTACCTATATAAACGTTGACTTTAGAAAATAAAATCTTACCTGTACAGCGTGAACAAGATATGGCAATGGGAAGAAAACAGAGCGCCACAGACTTATAAAGGGGAGATAAATGTGTCGTGATCTGGTTCATCAACACCTGGCAAACTACTCAAGTGATCCACAATTTAATAAAATATATTCACGTTTAACCCACTTGTGTAAAAGACAGTTTTGTGGGCCTGATTACTAGTCGAGTGAGAGCGAAAGTGAAACATTGTCACGCGTCATTTAGTGTAACGTTCACGTAGATTAATTATTTTTAGCTCGGCTCGTTTGCTTGCCTTTACCTGGCCATGACAGTGGTGACATTAAAGAACTTGTTTTTTTCACAGCCAGCGTTTTTCATTCGTCCAAATGTGCGTTTCGTGAAGGACATCCGTGTTGTGGTTTTTAATTATTTTTTTTTCTTTTTACACAAAAATTCGAAACGAAGTTTGGAACGTGGCGGAACAAATATGACGTAATGCGTAGTTGGGAGTTGGTGTGACGGAGTAAAGAGGTGAAAAACAGCTTGTGGGGGGTTGAAACACAATGCAAAACAGTTGTGACGTAACAGGCTCAGTACAAAAGATAAATGACGTAAAATAGTTATAATACTCTTGTGTACGAAATACTTGTGACGTAGTACACTATATTAAAGAAATATGACGTCATAAACTACGATGGCTTAATCATCATCTTTTTTTTTTCGTCTATGCCCGAAACGCATGGAGTAGATGAAGTAGAGTTCATCTGTTTTAATGACCTCGGCATACAATGGGATAATGTGGTCAGCATTATGCCCACCCGCTTTTGATTCCCTAACGTGAGTTAGGTATCCATCAGAGCTGGGTGGACTCAGGGACGTTCTACTGCTTAGAACCCGGATTCGAACTCGAGACTTTCGGGTTATCAGTCTAACGCTCTAACGCTAGGCTCCGTCGTCCCCACTATGGCTTAACATGACGTATGAAACTTTATGGGACGCTATATTCGGTACCAAAAATAAAAACACTTTCAATTTCATTTTAAAAATCGGCCCAAGATTACTTTTTAGCCACCCTCGCCCCCCCCCCCCCCCAAATAAAAAAGTCGGCCAAAAGATACCCACAGCCCCTTTCCCTCTTAACATAAAGTTTCAGGATGTTCATCCCTGCCTTACACTGACCTCAGTGAATGGTTTGTGTCAACAAACTGTTTTAATTAACGAGCCCTAATTAACGCCCCACCTAACTCGTGCTTAGGACCCTCACAACAGGGGCATCGTCTTAACACTTTTTCAACCCGGAAACGCTTGTCACCATTAGTACACTTGTCACCATTAGTACACTTGTCACCATTGGTACACTTGTCACCATTGGTACACTTGTCACCATTGATACACTGGTCCCCCCTCGGTACACTTGTCACAATTGGTACACTTATCATCCCTGCCTTACACTGACCTCAGTGGATGGTTTGTGTCAACAAACTGTTTTAATTAACGAGCCTTAATTAACGCCCCACCTAACTCGTGCTTAGGACCCTCACAACAGGGGCATCGTCTTAACTCTTTTTAAACCCGAAACTTGTCACCATTAGTACACTTTTCACCATTAGTACACTTGTTACCATTAGTACACTTGTCACCATTGGTACACTTGTCACCATTAGTACACTTGTCACTATTAGTACACTTGTCACCATTGGTACACTTGTCACCATTGGTACACTTGTCACCATTAGTACACTTATCACCATTGGTACACTTATCACCATTAGTAGACTTGTCACCATTAGTAGACTTGTCACTATTAGTACACTTGTCACCATTGATACACTTGTCCCCCCTCGGTACACTTGTCACCATTAGTACACTTGTCACCATTACTAGACTTGTCACCATTGATACACTGGTCCCCCCCTCGGCACACTTGTCACAATTGGTATACTTATCACCATTGGTACACTTGTCACCATTAGTAGACTTGTCTTCATTAGTACACTTGTCACCATTGGTACACTTGTCACCATTGGTATACTTGTCACCATTGGTACACTTGTCACCATTGATACACTGGTCCCCCCTCGGTACACTTGTCACAATTGGTACACTTATCACCATTGGTACACTTGTCACCATTAGTAGACTTGTCACCATTAGTACACTTGTCACCATTGGTACACTTGTCACCATTAGTAGACTTGTCACCATTAGTAAACTTGTCACCATTGGTACACTTGTCACCATTAGTACACTTGTCACCATTGGTACACTTGTCACCATTGATACACTGGTCCCCCCTCGGTACACTTGTCACAATTGGTACACTTATCACCATTGGTACACTTGTCACCATTAGTAGACTTGTCACCATTGGTACACTTGTCACCATTAGTACACTTGTCACCATTAGTACACTTGTCACCATTGGTACACTTGTCACCATTAGTACACTTTTTCACCCCGGATACACTTGTCACCATTAGTACACTTTTTCACCCCGGATACACTTGTCACCATTAGTACACTTTTTCACCCCGGATACACTTGTCATCATTAGTACACTTGTCACCATTGGTACAGAGTTTCTTCCAGGCAACCCCCCCCCCCCGAAAAAAGTCTACCCCCCTTACCCTCCGAACGAAATGGAATTTATAAAAAAAATATATACTTTTAACAGTGTCCTCCCCCCCCCCCCCCCCCGAAGAAAGTCTACCGCCATCCCCCCCCTCCCCAAAAACATGTCAAGTGCCCCCTCCCCACGGAGAAAAAAGTCTGGAAGAAACACTGCATTGGTACACTTGTGTACCATGAAACCGTTTATTTTGTGAAACGTTCAAAAACGTAGACCTGTACGTAATTAGGAATACTTGTATAGGGCTTTATTTGATTAAATGATGCGCTTAATCATAGTCAATGCTGTCATCTGAAATAAGTTTAATTATATAAACGTAAGCTTGTTAACTTTTAATTAATCATAGTCAATGCTGTCATCTGAAATAAGTTTAATTATATAAACGTAAGCTTGTTAACTTTTAATTAATTTTCTTCACAAACTGTAATTTAACTCTAAATTAATTAATTGAAACAATGTTTTAAGTTTGGTCTTATAAACATATTTTCATCGTGACATTGAAACAAAAGCTAGACCAAAGTACAAAATGTACATTCTAATTTTTGGTTGGATTTCTGGGGTATGAACCACTAATTAGTTGGCTTTCTGGGATATGGACCACTAATTAGTTGGCTTTCTGGGATATGGACCACTAATTAGTTGGCTTTCTGGGATATTGACCACTAATTAGTTGGCTTTCTGGGATATTGACCACTAATTAGTTGGCTTTCTGGGATATGGACCACTAATTAGTTGGCTTTCTGGGATATTGACCACTAATTAGTTGGCTTTCTGTGATATGGACCACTAATTAGTTGGCTTTCTGGGATATTGACCACTAATTAGTTGGCTTTCTGGGATATTGACCACTAATTAGTTGGCTTTCTGGGATATTGACCACTAATTAGTTGGCTTTCTTGGACATTGACCACTTACCATTGACCACTTTGGTAAACTTAGTAAACTAATCATGGGTAAATAACAATTAAGTCCGTCTGTTTCTCTTAAATTGGCCTCCAACTCTCCCACTGTAGTCGCTTCTAGTGCCTCCTCAGCTAAAAGACCTAGTCCACTAGAGACCCTACCAGCCTAGCACACCATTAGTATTGCTGTTGACTGGCCATGTTTGTGTCTCTCACTCAAGTTAAAGTGCAGAAAATCAAACTAAAAACACGGGGACGACATGGCAGAGTGGGAGAACGCACGATCGCTAACCCGGAATGCCCAAGTTCAGACCCCAGGCAGACGCCCAATTACATAAATAATATTCTGCTGATTGATAAGTTCATTTATTTTTTAACGGCGTGATAGAGTGCCAGAGTTCCAGACCACATTATTTGTGCCGAGTTTTTTGTGGGGTTTTTTGTTTTGTAGATGTATCCTAAATAAGGTAATATGGCATTTATATATATATATATATATATATATATATATATATATATATATATATATATATATATATATATATATATATATATATATAATATATATATATCATATATATCATATATATCATATATATCATATATATCATATATATTATATATATATGTATGTATATGTATATGTGTGTGTGTGTGTGTGTGTTTGGGGGGATGGGGACATTGGTGAAAGTATGTATTTTTTATATAAATTTATTTTTTGATCGGGGGGGGCGGTAGATTTTGGAGTCGCCCCCCCCCCCCCCCCCCGAAAAGATGCCTGAAAGAAATACTGTCCAATTTTTTTTTAATATGTTTGTCATGCTGATTGTGGTAGCCGTTCTGATTAACTCCAGTATCACAAAGAGTTAGAAGACCTTGTCTACTTGAAGACTTCCCGTGTCTTAAGATTTGGTCATAGAATAGCTCTTTTCAAGACCGGTCGGGGAAAAAAATCCTTAAAATGTTGACGTCATTTATGAACGACCGATTATCATAAACATCCTAATTTCTAAAATAATTATTCATACAGTTAAATATATTGTTGGTTAACAGATTTAAAGAACAATAGGTCTTTTCCAGCGAAGTTTTACAGTACGAGCCGACCCGCGGTGTATCATACGCCGCTAGTTAGTTGTTTTATTTTCTACTTTTCAGTAATTCATAATTTGTGAATTCGGCAGTACCAATGCTGCCACTGAAAATATTTGCTTTAAAACACTAAAACCCTTCTTTCCCCCAACCTCTCTCCCTCCCCCAACCCTCCCGTAATGCAGCCTCCTTTTAGTTACCTCCCCTAAGTTTAAATTCGTTTCAAGCTAAATTATCTGTCCCTAATAGCCGTCACTAAACCCGGCTCTACGATTGTAAACATTTTGCGTGAACCACAGCTCACCAGACCATGTGGGGGTGGGGGTGGTAGTGATATGCCTAGAGAGGAAGAGAGGGGGCTGCTAGGCGCGCTCATAGCTTGGTGTTTTCTTTGGTCTACAAGAAGAGAATTAAATATATAGATTACCAGATAAATGTTCTTTCCGAAAAACGCATAAGTTAAGCATATCATCCTTGTTTATAGGTTAACAATCATAGTGGAGATTTCTGGAGATCAAGTAACTTTCCGGGATATTGACCACTCATTAGTTAACTT